ATATATATATATATATATATATATATATATTCATTTAAACTGCTAATGTCACTAAAGTCAATCATATTTTTATAATATTCATTAAAAAGTTTTGCAAAATATCAAATATATATCCTTCTTCGTTGAATATCCTCTTCTAATAAAAGCACTTTTTTACCTTCATCCTTAATGCACTTTATATGAACTAAATCTTTACTATTCCTATCTCTTTATTTTGCTTACTTATACATATATTTTTCGTCCTCATTGGTATTTAATTTATTATATAAATCATTAAAAGTTGAGATCTTTGCATCGCATATTACTTTCTTAGACTCCTTACGGGCCTAAGTGAACGATTAAAAAGTCACAATTTTTTAATCTATCCTATAAAATGTCAAAATTTTGGCTTAAAAAAAAAAAAAAAACAATATTCAAGCAGCAAGATGCAAGAGGAAAAAATCCAACAAAAATAATAGGGAAATGTGAATCTAGGCTTGAATCCTCTGCTGTTGTCCTTTCTCCTGAACAGCTCATAGATTACTTGAGTGGAAGAGTGGAAGAAGGGAAAAGAAAAACATTAAAAAAAAAAGATGGGATTATAGTCAGAATAGTGTTCTACATTCATAAATGCCTTTGGGATTTATAGAATGTTATATAATAAAAACCAAGAAAGTCAATAACTAACCTTCAATTTTTAAGCATTGAAGCCTATTAGGTTAGTTATAAACAAGCAAACATGAATAATTTGATTTAAAATCATACTAACAACCTTTATCTTGGTTTTGATATCAAACTTACTCCTATAGGAACTACATACAACATCTCAGCATGCGTATTCTTTTCTTCAGAAATATAAAGAATGAGTCTTATGGTAGTATAGATACAATCTTATTAGGAAGTATAAGAAATCTATATTTTACCGTACTATCTAACTATGATGTTTGAGTATTCAACAGTTGGAATCCGTAACATTTTCACTGCATACTTCTATCTAATTCTCTTGAGAATTGTAAACAAATTTTGGCACTAAGACAAGAAGGAGAATAATGACTTCTCATCAGTTAGACGAATGAGATCAATGACACATGAATTCATAAGCTTTATGCCTCTTTGATGGATTTGTATAATCACCATCCATATAATTCTTATTCTTTTATGACCTTTTTGTAAACCCTAGTAATAGTACATCCCCCATTTGTATAGCTTACTCCTATAGGAACTACATACAACATCTCAGCATGCGTATTCTTTTCTTCAGAAATATAAAGAATGAGTCTTATGGTAGTATAGATACAATCTTATTAGGAAGTATAAGAAATCTATATTTTACCGTACTATCTAACTATGATGTTTGAGTATTCAACAGTTGGAATCCGTAACATTTTCACTGCATACTTCTATCTAATTCTCTTGAGAATTGTAAACAAATTTTGGCACTAAGACAAGAAGGAGAATAATGACTTCTCATCAGTTAGACGAATGAGATCAATGACACATGAATTCATAAGCTTTATGCCTCTTTGATGGATTTGTATAATCACCATCCATATAATTCTTATTCTTTTATGACCTTTTTGTAAACCCTAGTAATAGTACATCCCCCATTTGTATAGTTGTAATAGTTGGGCTAACTTCTCTCAACTTCTTGACCTCCTATTCTATAGGTAGAATGATAAGAATTTGGTCGCCTCTATCATGTAGATCCTCCTGCACCCCCTCCTCCTTTTTCACCTCATCCCCAACCTCATATATGTGAATGAGTAGGTTAATAGCATGCAACACCTCGATCTACTCATTTTGATGCTACTTCCTATGTACAAAATTATGAACAAGTTTAATCAAAGCATACAATATTTTTTCCATTCTTCGATCATCTGTGAACCATGATCATTCTATTATCGTATCATGATCATAATATAATGAAATCATGGTTGAATCATGCTTGAACCATCTTGAAAATCATAATATAATGATGTTATTTTATCTTGAATATCTTTATCATGGTTTGAAGATTATTTAATCGTAGTTTGAAGATTGTTCAAATTATGATCGAAGATGCTTCAAAGATGATCATATTGTTGTACAATCATCATTTAAATATTTTTTGAAAGATTATCTTATTTTGGTTTGAAGATTGCATTATCATAACTTAGCCTTTATTCGAAAATGAGATTGTTTGAAGATGATTTTTAAAAAAAAATCACAAAAATTAAAAATCTTATACATTTTTTTGTTACTTTTATTCAAATAAATTCAAGTATTTTAAATAGATTATTTTATTATATTACTTTTTTTTTAATAAATCAAACTCTCTCTTAAGTAAAATTTATTTTGTGCGTTCAGGATTATTTTAACAGGAAATATTTATTTTTTCGGGAAAATTAAAACGAAATATTATCACAATAATATTTTATACAAAAACGTGATAAACGTTCCCTCGAGGTTTGTTTCAAGTGGACCAAGCTTCTTGGCTAAAATCACCTCCGGTAACTATACCCTTTCCCATTTTCTTCCCACGTAGCCCTAGACTCCATCTCTCCCCCTTTGGCTTTTCTATAAATCCCATCCGTGACGCGCTTGCTTCTCAGAGGAAGAAAAGAGCGAAGACCTTGCCCAGTGGGAGAGTTGATCAGAGATCAAAGAAAGAAGATGGCGCCACTGAAATTGTATGGAATGGTTGGCTCGACGAACACCCTCAGAGTGGCGGTGGCGCTCAACGAGCTCGGCCTCGACTACGAGTTCGTCTCCGTCCCACTCACCACCGGCGCCCACAAGAAGCCCGAGTATCTCGCCATTAATGTATTCGCCTCTACCTCTCTCTTCCATCTTCCAAAATTTGTTTTCAATCTCTCAGTCTTATTTCCCACCTTTTCACTTTTCAGCCATTCGGCCACCTCCCATCGCTCGAAGACGGAGACCTAAAGCTCTTCGGTAAGTTCTTTACTCTTCCGATCTTTTAATTTTCATAAAAGTAAGGCCGATCCTGATATTCGATTGTCGAAATCTGACGGACAGAATCGCGTGCGATTAACAAGTACCTCGCTAACCATTACAAAGGCTCTGGCCCGGATCTGCTCAGATCCGGAGTCAAGGCGGAATCGGCGAAGGTGGAGGTGTGGCTTGAAATAGAATCGCAAGAGTTTAACCCACCGGCGTCTTCGATTGTCTATAATGTACTGATTAAGCGGTTGCTGAGCGGTGGAAGCCCGGATGAGGACGTGGTGAAGGCGCAGGAAGTGAAACTCTCACATGTGCTTGATATTTACGAGAAGCAGCTCGCCGAGACCAAGTATCTAGCCGGCGATGAGTTTACCCTAGCCGATCTGAACCATTTGCCCTACTTGTATGGTTTGTCGAAGACGGCGAACGCCGGTCTTCTGACTTCGCGCCCCCATGTTTCCGCTTGGTGGGAGAGTATTTCGGCCCGGCCGTCGTGGAAGAAGGCCATCGCCGGCAATCCATACTGAGTTTCAGCGGCGTTACGCTCGCCGGGGTCGGCAGAGGCTGCTTCCTTAGTGTTTGGTGATTTGCCTGAGTGCGTCGTTTTCTTTGTTACTGAAATAAATCGAAGGGAAGTACTGCGATCTACAATCTTATGTTGGAATGAATAGTTACTTTCCTTTTTGATCTTTTCCAAAATGAAGGGGTTGAACATTTTGCATATTGAATCATTGATAGAATTTTTAAAATTAAGGCTAAATTTTAAGAAGTAGCTCATTATTTATTAAAATTAGTTTAAAGAACATATTTAAAAAATAATTAAAAAAAAGTAATAAAAAAGAGTTAAATTATATATAGATCTGTGACGTAGTGACAATTTGTGCGGTAAATATACGTGTTTTTTGGGTTATTTTGGGATAGAGAAGATGAAGGTTGTATAACAAATTTTTTTGAATTTTTAATACTTGGTTATTAAGCAATGCTCATTATAATTTGAAGTTAGTGTATATTCAACTAAAGTTTTGGGTTAATTTAACATATTTGGAATGAGGTAAAATTTTAAAAATTGCATTTAAATTTTATATATTCGTTGTAATAATTTTTAATTATGTCGAAGTTAAATGTAAGTTAGTTGGTTCGAGAGATAAGTATTTAGGCATGTGGACAAGCAAACATAAGAGTAGGAAGCCCTACTTCCTTTATATTAAAGATTAGTGTATGTACGGAGGTATCAATCCGTTAAGATAGATTTAAATAGCTTATGCTTATGCGACAACTGTCCTATCTTAGCACAAATCTAATTTTTTTGGTGACATGGGAATTGAAGTCATGTAGCAAGCATGCGATAAATATTTTTTAAAGTTAATATATAAAAATTATATTTGTGTTATGAATTTGTGTTGAAAAGTTCTGTATTATTGATTTATTAATATTATCCATGAGTTTATATTTTTGAAAAATATATATTTAGGCATGTGGACAAACAAACAGAAGAGATAAGTAGAAGTAAATTATTGGTATTAAATTTTTTCATAAAATACTAATCATTTAAATATGTTGATGCCATAATTGAATTACTGTAGTTTTTCATTATGATATTCTCATGATAATATTATGGTTTAGAGATAATATAAATTAAAATAAACCTATGTTAAGAATTTGTTATTTGTTCTTTTTTTTTAGTGGCACGTACGAGCTGAATAATAAGTGGACGTGGTGCAACTTTCATGCACCTGTATGGAGGCGAGTTACAAGTTGATGACAAATTTGCACCAAGTTATTTTGGGGGTAGGAATCGTCCCTTACATGTGCCAAGAAATATAAACTTAGAGCAGCTTAAGTTAAGGATACTTAGAGCACTTATGGATGTTTTAAGAATGGTTGAGCTAGATTATGTTAGCCAAATGAGATATTTACGGAAGGACCACCATTTGTTGACAGCCTTAGTGTAGAGATAATCGCCACATACAAATTGTTTTCACCTAACCGTTGGCGAGATGACCATTACCTTGCAGGATGTTGCTATGATTTTTGGTGTCCATATAGATGGTCATGCTTTGGTAGGGCATGCTGTTGTTGGAGCTGGGAGACGCTGGCTTAGTTGGCCAGACTGCTATGATGACCTTCTTGGGAGCCATCCACTACCAGATGTTGTATACTGGGACCCATTCGATCATCGCATCACAGCAAGGTTTCGTATGGGACAGGCACATGTACAAACTTGTATTTCCCTCAGATGGTTGCGATGGACATTTTGGTGTGACTCCTACTTGGACCTGAACGATATTGATTTTTGGAGGCATGTTCGGGCTTACATATTGTTCATATTAGGTTGTCACCTCCTCCCGGATACTTCAGGTTCATACATACATTTACAATACCTTACTATTATGGAGGATTTGATAGTATTCAATACATACTCTCTTGGAGGAACAATTTTAGCCCATTTGTATAGAGAGTTGGGAGAAGCAACACGACCTAGTAGGGCCAACATAGCTGGATGCATTCATTTGTTACAAATGTGGGCTTGAGAGCATCTACATGTAGGAAGATCATTGCTTCGTGTTCCCTTTTTAGAAACCTCCTCAGAATTACAGTGGATATGCTGGACCCTCCTCTTATCCTGATCAAGGGCCCTCTGCGGACCTCTTCAGTAACCAGATGCTAGCGGATTTGGATGCATACCTCACCCCAGATTTTGTATCGAGCTCCCTTCATAGAGATGACATAGCTGAGGAAGAAGTTGCTGAGGAGGAACATCACATGCTACATAAAAGGCCACGACGATCTCCACAACATTACACTCCAGACACTGATGCATTGCCACAGAGGCCACGTAGGCGACGCTAGTTCATCCTTTTATGTATTTCAGTATGCTTATGTTATGGATTATTTAATTTCAGTATGCCTATGTTATGGATCATTTAAATTATTAGTATTTTATTTAAAAGCCTTTTTTAACCTGCCTACTACCTGAGCCAATTTATAAATTTTTCTTGCATTTATAATGAAACACTCATTACATAATTGTTGCAAGTCACTTAAAAATATGATTCTTAATATTTCTTTCGAATAATAAAAATTAATTTATGCTTCAAGGACTACAAAACAGGAAAACCTTCAATAGGAAGAATGTTTGTTTTTTTTTGTTTTATTATCCATAAAATGAATTTCATTTATTGGCTCATATTAATTAACATTAAAATCCGTTAACTTTTAGAATTTTTTTTTATTAATTTTTTTTTAATTATAGGCTAAGTTGCCCGTTTAACAGGGGACTTATAAGTCGTCTATTATTCGGGCGACTTATTACTATAAGCATTTCTTTGCCAACTCAGCATAACGGTTACAACCCTAGTCAGCATAAGTCGCCTTTTTAACAAGCGATTTTGTCTATATGTAAATTTTTTTTAAACATGCTTAATTTATTAATACAATTTCTAATCATGCTTATTCTTAAAATTTTCCCTTTAATAAACTGTAATCAATGCTAGAATTATCACATTTATCAAATATTCATA